CTCATTAACCCGAGAAAGATAACCTACGTCGCAGAGGCGCCTGCGAAGACTGTTGATTTTTGTTAATTTTTCATAGAGGTCTAGTGATTTAAGTTTAAAATTACTGAAAATATAAAAAAATATAATATAAATGCATTTTATTTTTACAATAATGCCAAACCTTTAAAATGACTAGATTAACTTAAATAAATATCCATTGTTAGTATAAAATTGACGCCTTAGAAAAGCATGCGCCTCTGAAGCGTATGGTTATCTTTTACGTACGTTGTCATATGGTTATCTTTCTAGGGTTAATTACACAACTCAATATAAGACAGAAACAATAGGTAAGATGCTATTGGAAAATTAATTTGCATCAGCGTATTATTCGTACTGCCCGATGACGGTAGTTCTGCAGAAGCTCGCGGGCGGATATCTAAGTACAAAGAAACCTTGCTATCGTAAAAATGGAAAATTCTGAGAGGAATCTATTTTTAAAAGAAAAAAAGGAGTAAAACTGTGATGTCTGGTGAAACGCGGATATATCCAGAGTCTAGAGTGCTCCTTTCGAGGATATACTGTCTCCACTGACGTCCATACAGATGTTCCTTGTTGTAATCCAATAGTTCGAATCCTGTGTGACATATATGTACGGTAAAACCCATGATGCGAACGGAATATGGGCACACACATCGTGAGATCCTTAGGAATTCCGAGATTTATATCCCGTATCTAGTCTTTCACGTCGTGAATCGAATCAAATCTTGAGCATTATTATATCAAACGCGAGCTGACGAATCGGTCTGCCTGTGTAGTAATTTTTAGTTTGTTCATTTTATTAAACAGCGAACGGAAATGTCCATACTAACTCGTGGAGACTTGGTGTAGGTGTTAGGATATAGAAGTAAATTTCTGTAAATATTTAAACGCTTAAATACCTTCGAACGATGAAGTAAACATATATAGCTGTCAGCAGAATAATTTTGCTGAATATTTTTAGTTCAGATAATGTTTCGAATTTTGGAGAAATTTATATTCTATTTGGGCAATAGAATATAATTTGTGAAATTATCAGTGATAAAATGAAATCTTATAGTTATCTGCAAAAGTTAAGAAACGCTTTACACAGACGCACATTCTTGAGTATAGTATAAACCTTCTCGACGTAGGATGAAAATTTGTACCGTGTCGACGAAAATATTAATTTCATTTTCGTAGAGTTTTTTAATTTTTTATCTTTATTTGATCTTTCTATTTTTCATTTTTTCATTTGTCGAATAAACTGAACAAAACAATATTGCAAAATAAATAATGTATTGTATGCTTCACTGTAGTTTGTATTTTTAATTTAATAAAACGTATATTTATTAAAATAACAAATTTTATTCAAATGTGAACGGTGTGTAAAGCTTCTTAATTTTTGTCGCAACGTTAAGGAAGGCAGACATTAAACTTTAATCGAACGATCCTGGATTAGATTTATATTTAATCGTAAATAAATGGTTCAGTTCGAAGTTGTTATATTAGTTATTGAACGAACGCGTTCGCCGGCGAGGAGGACAAATTATACAGAGTCAATTAAATGTCACTCTCTTTTCGTGAAAGCAACAGATATCCCAATAATTACGTGCGGTAATGAACGCTGTAATGACAGAACTAACAATACATTTTCTTTTTATTTCAATAATTTTGTAACAAGAAGAATGGAGACTATTGGTAATTAAAACTAATTAGGCTGACAGGGTTTCAAGAAAGGAGGTGGATTAATTAATTGAGATTCGCAAAACTAATTGGATTAAAATATTCTACTCGTTTCGTGAATTGAAGAATTATACAAATATCTATGCATGTTTAAAACAAGCTATTTCAAGTGGGTTAGCAATTAAAACTAGTACGCACTCAAGTGGCCTATAAGTTGTCTAGCTTGTAAATTGCTGAGACAGTAACAATTTTATGGGATATGCAAACATTAGAGCATAGATGCTAATGCGATAGACGTGTTTACGGTATAATTTATGGAACAGCGAGCGAAATAGAAACTTCTTACATCAACGAATAGTTTTACTACGCGATATAATAAATAAACTTTACAAGTAAATTACTGTTCATTAAAGTTTTCGTTTCATGTTGATTTTACCTCGCTATGTATGATAACATATAGTAATTATGTGATACACTTGCATTATCTGCCTATACTCTATTCCCGTAATGACTACTGCCACCAAAATCTATAAAATTCGTTACATAAAAATGATATCAAAGACGATCTAATGACTTTTGAAATTTCGCAATTCGACATCGTTGAAATTAAATTGGATCTTATTAGTCTTTAGAAGAACAAAACGTAATATGAGGTGTTATTCTTATTAATGATGGTACAGTTGAGTAATCGAATGATATGAAAAGTGAAAGGCCATTGAAATTGTTATGTCAAAAAACTGAGACTGTTTTAGCTATCGTAGATGATACACTGTGAGAACGATGTAATAATACGAACAAAATTCAAGATCACTACATAAAAAATCACCTTGTAATCAAGTTTCTAGAGAAGAATACTCTCTTAATACTAAATACATTGTTTATTTCTCTCGTTATTTATAATTTGGTGAAACTAATTCTCGGAGGAAAATTTAAAAATGTTCCATCTCCTCCATGATGAGTATATTCGTCAAAACCAGCTAACTGATTAAAAGTTGATTATCGAGCTTCTCTTAGACACAAGTTCAGTCACTGATCAGCCTGTTAATAAGCTTTCGGTTTTAATTTCGATTGAGATTTCCAGCATAATAATTGCCAAACTGCTATGTCTCATACGTCATTCGATAACATTGGTTTCCTCCTGTTGTGCGATCGTTTACTTATTCGCTCTATGACACTGCATAGTTTTCGAAAAATTACTCAAGAATTAGAATTTATGATTGTTAGAATCATTGGAAAGAAATAGAATTTACGTTATGTCAAATAACCGCTGGACAATTGTTATGCGGGAGATTTAACTCGAAATTAAATCGCACGAACTCACGGACCGACCGAATGGGAGAGGGCATTTGTCGACAAATAATATTTTTTAACGAAACCAAACGAAACGGACGCGGTGGTCCCGTGTAGCTGGCGATAAAGGACCTTTGAGGACCAACAAACAGCTTCGGTCCCAGGAGTCCTGGGGTTGCCGCGGGATCCCGCGTGTCTGGAAAGTCGAACGAAAATAAACGAGAGTGCTTCGATGTAGGTTGAGGGAATGAGGTTAAGTTCTAGGATACCGGAATCCACGGCGGCGGAACAGGGCGAATACAGACTTCGGTGGAAATTTATGCCTCAGACCCCGGTGAAATTTATGCGTCAGACCTCGATGAAATTTACCCTTCAAACGGAATAACCTCTGATACCGTGGAAGGAGACGATTGAAAAGTGGTCCGTCTTTCGAGGACCCTTTAATCTTTCACGACGGCCAACTATT